AGTCCTGAGGGTTTAAATATCCCTCAGTGATGACTCGTAAAATGTGTTTGAACTACGTCCAAACTTTAACATGCTTTAAATGTTTCAGCCAAAGCAATCAGAAAGACTGTTGGTGTTGTTAGCTGGAGTGGAATTCTGTTTTAAAAGTTAAGTTAGGTTTAAGGGTTAAAACACTTCTGCTGTTTGCAAGCAAGTGAGCACAAAGGAGAATGTGTGTGAATGACAGCGAGACAAGGTGAGATTCAGCTGCATGGACTGGAGACAGTAAAGGATGGATGGACGGTGCATAGAAGAGGCAGAGTGGTCTGGATGGAAGAAGAAGACGGAAGCAGGTGAGCAAGCATTAATGAAGTTATAATTAAAGCACTCAAAGTGTCTTCAATATTCAGTTCATCAGTTTAAGTCATCAGAAACAGGAAACAGGAAGTTGTCTGTACTAACCAAGAGCATTTTTAAAGGATGTTCTAATTTGCCACCTTCACCTTAATCCTCTCTCTTACACAGCGCTATTGTCTCAGAAATTATATTAAATAATGTACCACATATATGAACAGAAGACAAAAGTTTGACTTTAAGAACTACTCATCTGGGCTGCTTGGCAACAAATGAACAACTCCAAAACCAAGGTCTCCAAACCATCCAACAGGTTGTGTCTTACTATTTGTCAAAAAAAACAAACAAAAATAAAACATACACAAACTGTAAAACAGCTTCTACACAGACACAGGCCTCTGAACCGACTGCTGAATTTTCATCACATCACATGATTTGTTGTAGCTGATCTGAACAGCGTTCACATGTACAGTATGTGTATTAGCTGATGTTCTAGTGTGCTCACTGTGATGAAAGACTGAACATAAAGTGACTGGAACAAGCTCCACTTGAAGAACACACCCACACCCACACACATATATATTGTTTAATAGGACAGTGTGACTTTATCTCTGCTGCAGTTACTACTCTGACAGGATAAAGTCACAGAGAACAGTCTAATGAATGTGATGTACTGACCTGGTGTAATGGCTGCTGTTAACTATTGCATTAAGTTAAACGTTTATGCCAGAACATCCCAGAGGGAACAGCTGAGTTTGTAGAAAGAGTGGAAATAAAAAATGTAGAAGAATAACTATCATACAAGTGAACCTGTTTTGTTACATCACTACTTTCTATCACTAGAATTAAAACAAAAAAAAGGTCTTATTAAAATGATGGCCTAAGTCAGTTTTTGGCAAAAACTTATTTTTTGAAATTCACAATTAAATTCTTCCCACTTACAATTTTAACCATATCAAAATATTTATTTCATATACGTAGCCACTAATGTGCAGCAACGGGTTGAAAGTAACAAGTTACTATAATCGGATTACTCTTATCAAGCAATGTGTAAAGTAAGGGATTACAGTTGCAAAAACAGTAATTAGATTACTGTTACTTTTCTTCAGATTGTGCTTCATGACAGTGACGTCGTGGTGTGACGTCAGTGGTAACAGCAGCATGTGTAGATGGATGAGGGAGAACATGGAGGCCGGGGGAGAGCAGGACTATGCAACGTTGAATGCATGGAAATACTGACGATACTTTGAGAACATTTTTTATCTAGAACGAAAAATTTCACATCAAATCTGAGCAAGCACCTAGCAAGATCTTTTTGAAATTTAACTGAGTAAAGTAAGTATTAAAGTTACTAAACTGCAAAAGCATCTGTCCTCCACCCAACCTTCACCACACCTGACACAATCCTAATAAGATCTACATCTGCTGCCACCTGACTCCTTCCTGCTGCCACCACTCTATTTCTCACATATGCTCCGTTCATGCGAACACACAACCTGATTTCAATGAATAATCTAATTTCGCTCTGCGGAAAAAACGTCGGGGGAAATGTTGTTATGAAATTCCGTCACACCTGGGGTTGAAAATGAGACGACTGATCTGCAACGTTGTATCTGTCGTGGTGTAATTGAGATGCAACATGCTGAGAGTTTACAGGTTTTGTTGAAACATAAAGCAGTGACTGTCAGTCTGAGTCACAGGACCAGACTACAGGGGTAAGGGGTCAGGGGACGCTCCTGCTGCCTCAGCAGAGCTGAGAGCTGTGACGCACCTGATTTGTCCTTTGAGTTACACCTCTGACTCAGGGCACAAAAGAATGGGGTGTAGGTAATTAGACAACAAGGGTACCATCTTCATTGTGGCCAATTTTAAATCTCTGATTGCAGCACAGCTTGGGAAGACGCTTGTTTAAAGAAGCTTCCCATGATGCCTTTTGCAGCTCTAGTTTCATCTAGTTTTACTGATGTTTGAGCAATAGATTTTGTTTTATTAATTTTCTTTTTCTACCAGGTAGTGGGAACATTTCAAGTTTTCAATTCAAAGGCAGCCAAGGACCTAGCCTGGAAAATATATTATTAATATTGTACAACAATTTTTTTGTGTGCATTTATTAGATGGAACGCAGATAGAAAAGGCAGTGTTTCCCCAACTGTTTTGAGCCACAGCACATATTTTTGAATAAAGTCTTCTTGCACTCATGCTGCACTACAAGCCCCCCATGTTGAGAACCACTGGCTTTAAGAATGCAAAGAAAACCTATACAAAAATAGTAAAACGTTGATGAAAAGCATGAACAAGCACAAACTTTAAAACAATATAATAAAGACAACAATTTACTTTAATACTGACATTTTGTTCTGAACCTACAGGGTTTTGTTTGTTTTTGTGCTCTTTCACAGATAATAAAGGTGGGTTCAGGGATCAAAACATGAGGGATTTGGTGGGAGACCGTGTGTGACTTTACAAACACAATAATCTGCAACCTTCAAGTGGTGTATGCACTTTTACACTACAACAGTGGTCAGTGGCTTCTCAGAGGAAGACGAGTCTCAAGGCACAATTTTGCTCAGATTGACGATAAACAGTGAGTTGTTAATAAATTATATTTATCGTCATCATCATCATCTGCCCTTTTTTATTTTCTCACTTTTTATTAGAGATGTTCCGAGAACCACTTCTTCTCCTATGGACTGTATTTTATGGGCTATAGCTGGGAGTATGTGTGCCAGTGTTTTATGACGTTAAAAGGGTCCTACAAGGGGAAAGTGTTCTGCTGCAGTATCATTTGTCTTGAACACGTTCAACTCCACCCCCATTTATCATCTCTGACTTCCTACAGCCAATGTGTCAGAGGCACCTGAGTGTGTGAAGTTGGTTTGACTGTGTAACTGCTGATATTGTACGGTACAGATGTATAAAAAGTAAAACTTCATGCTTCAACGACAGGGTTGGTGCAGTTTACAAAGGTTAAACACACAGAAAAAAAACAAAGAGTTTTGAGCTCACTGCTCTGCCCCTGAACCACCACAGTATTCTCCAACTTTACTTCATAAACAATACAAATAAAAATTAATGTTTGTCACCACACTGTGGACGCTAACCACCAAAAAACAAGCCTTTGTTCTACTGGTCAGTAAATTAAGCATTTTTGGACACAGGTATTTCTTTAACCACCAACCTAAAACTCTATCTGAAATTATGCTTCATAACTGATTATATCTTTTTTTTAATATTTTTAAGAATATGACAATTGACCTGGTGAAATGCCTTTTACATTGACATAAACGTCACATCCTCACGTTCTGTGCATTAGTTCAAAGACTAGAAATTCTTAACCAAAGAGTGCACGACGAATTAGCACGTTATACATCTGCTGACGATATCAAGTAGCTCAGGACTTCGACCGGTGTATGAACAGGACATAAATATGGAAGATGCCGCAGGGCTGATGAGTGGATGTGAAGCTGCAAGGCTAGGAGTTTTCATTGATCTCATACAGGAAGGAGATCACAAATTGGACTGGTTTGATTTTAGCAAAGAAAAAAAACATTGATTTTTCAATCTGATTAGGGGAAAACAGCAGAATTAACATATATATAGTGTTCACACCAAACTGGCAGATACAGAATGAAAGTTAAAGCCTTTGGTCAGAACAGATGAAAAATACTTTGGAAATGCAGTATGCATTATTCTTGCTTGCTATTGTTGCTGACATTGTTTGAAGGACACAGAAACCTCCCACTTCCTCTCATCCACCCCCACAACCACCTGCACAGCCTGTGTCACCTCTCTGCAGGAGGAAACTCATTACCTGTAATGATTTCTGTGTGGGCTCTAGTGCATTTTTGGAGCCATTTAACCAGATGATCTCTCTATAATAATGTTTGTGTTGATAACAAGAATCTAAATGGTCGACATCATGGGAAAGAAAAGCAAATGTTTCAGTCACTGCAGTGAGTGAACAAAAAATATCTGTTAGACTAGTGGTCCCCAACCTTTTTTGTGCCAAGGACCGGTAAAACATACCATCATTGAAGGATCATTACATTTTCATTATCAAGTCATATTTAAATCTAAAAAGTAAAGGGACATGATTGGAATCTTTTGGAATGAAATAAATTAGTAAAACTGAAGTACATTCTTTTACTGTGTTTCACTGTGGCCCAGTACCAAATGACCCGAGACCAAGAAGAAACGCATGATGACCAAGAACATAAAGCATGAAATTGTCAATAAATATGCGTGGTGCCCACTAAAGAAAGAATTCAAACCAAAAAAACAAAACAAAACAAAACAAAAGTAAAAAAAAGAAATACATAAATTAAGTTAATTCTACGTTTATATAAGTTACGTAGTGTACGTGTAAGGTATGGTGTGGAATCAAGTGTCTACGTAAGGGACAACTGTCTTCCCTCCCTCTCTCCCTCTCTCCCTCCTCCTCTGCACATGCCGCCATTAGCCGCTACTGTATCATCTTTTCGTTTTGAAGTAAGAACTAATAATTAAAACCACATTTTATATCACAGGAATCCTTATATGCTATAATTTTTGTGTGTGGGTGTGTATGTCTCTTTAGCAATTAAAAACATGTTTTTTCTATTGTTATTAGCATCAATATGGGAAAAGTTTTTTCTATTGTTATTAGCATCAATAAAGGAGCTTTTTAGAGGGCTGGAACGGATGAATTTTTTTATTTGTCATGGGAAAAAATTATTCAAGATACGAGGTCCTCAAACGGATTATGGTCGTATCTCGAGGTTCCACAGTATTTTGATTGTGAAAAATGGCTCCTTATTATTGAAACATCAGTGTTCTCACAATAGAACTGTGTATGGAAAGCGAAAGTTCTTCATCACATCACAGTTGAAACACCTGGCTGTCATTACAGATAATGATCAGCCCAGGTGCTTCAGTGTCTAATGCCTCTTCATTGAATGTGGAAAAGGTTTCAAACTAGGCCCAGTCTTTGGTTTCTGTAGCTTTACTAAAAAGAAAGTGTTGAAGCCTAAGACACAGGGAAGAGAGCAGTGGAGTCTGATGAAGTCAGGACCACAGTGATGAATCATCATCTCTCACAGCTTTGAGAATTCAGCCACACAGGTAAGGTTTCTTACACACTGCTGTGTAAATTATTGAGTCATCACTCAATGGAAATAAAAAGGGTGACACGGTGGCTCTGAGCCTTAGTCGCAACAGTGGCTAGAAATAAAACAAACACCAGACAATGATTCAGACTGGAACTCGGAACAACATGTAGCCGAGTTAGCTACCAAGTAACAACATAATTATGCCTAAATTATACACAAAACCAATTTAGTTTGCTAGTACACGTACTAATATCGTGAACAATATGGTTACAGATGACAACTAAAAAAGAGATCAACAACTTAAAGTTCACCAAATGTGTATCTAAAAAATTAAACTTTGGTCCAATATTCATAGGATATAAGACAAAAATCAGTTCCAGGACAATTAAACCTTAGTTTGAAAATGAGAAAATATTTACCATATGACAATTTTTTCTAATTATTATACAGTGAAAAATATTTTAAGAGTGCCTGTATATAATCTAGAAACCCTTCAAGCACTTCTCCAAGGGTACCCACCGCAACCCACCATTTAAATACATAAAAATATTACCTTAACTGCCGAACATACAGTAAGAGATACTTTTTAAAAACTTAGTTAAAAACTTAAGTCTTAGCCCACACTGTATCTGCACGTCCACAGGCCATACTGATTTAAATTCCACTCACTTTTTCCATCCCATTTCTGTTAGGTGTTGCTGCAACAGAAATCTCAACACATTCACTCAGAGCTTCATGCTCCTCCACCTCCATCCACCCTTGTCTAACAACAATATCCCTCAGCTCCAACCACCAGAACATGAATTCCTCAAGGTTTCCACCATGTGTTCTTCCCGAGGCTAACATGCTAACAACTTCAGCTTCAACTCTGCATTGGGGACGCTGGAGAAAACAGAGTTCTTCTTAGACAGCCATGCGGAGAAAAATAGTTTAATATCAACTAGATATAAAACAAAAACATCAAATCATATAGCAAAAAATAACAAAAGGTTAGCCATAAAAGAATAAATATAACATGAAAACTGGGTAACAATAAATTAAAAATGAATACAGAGACACTACAGCTTGACCCATAACCCAAAATACTGAACAGGAAGTCATCTTAAAACAGCAGTGATAAGAGATAATATTAAGACTATCGGCATGGCCTCATCTACTTTGCCCCTGACCCTGACTTTGGCTAGATCTGACTCAAAACACCACAATAGAGAGATGTTAATTGAAGTAGAAATGGAACCAAGCTTATCAAGCTTAAATATTTCTTCTCAGAATCTGGATGCATCAAACACTGACAACCTGAAACAAGGACAATACAACCAACAGACAACTGAGTAATACAACAACAACAACAACAACAACAATTGCAGCAGCATCACACCACGGCATTTAAAATCCATCTTAATTAAGTTCCAGGTCTAATACAAATGTTGAAGAAATCTAAGTTAAAGCTCAAATATCATTCAGTGCATTGAAGCTCAGGAGGAAATTCTTATTTTAACAACTTTTCTTTTTCTCTATGCAGACATTTTTGCAGTCTTTCTTTTTTTTAATAAGCGCTGGCTTTCAATCTTTGTGGATTACTGAAGTGTACCCTCAGTGTGGTAAATACTGTCAAAATGCAGACTTCACTTATTAAAACACTAATGCTGACTGTGTCAAAACAAGCCAGTTCCTAATCTATTGATTTGAAAAAGAGAAAAAACCACCGAGCGTTAAGTCAGCTGAAACTGCAAAACAAAAGTGAGGATTAAACAAGTTTACAATTTGCTTACGTTCTATTCACTTTTAAATACAACTTTTAAACATTTGCAAGACAATCAAACTCAATTTTGATATTTAAAAGACTTAAATTGCTCAATGGCCGCCGTTCCCAGTTGCCTGAATTATAACTTTTATATAGATTAACAAATCTGGACTGCACGCACATCAGTACTGCACATGCTGTCTACAGCTTAGGAACTTAAACCTTACAAATAATTCTGCCCTCACTTTATTGAAGTCTGTTAAAGACAGAAGGAACCATTTTTAGACTAATAAAGAAAAGGTTAAAGGTGCATGACTTATAGGATCTAGTCTCTGAGATTTCTCCTCAGTAAATATACAGAAAAGCTTTTTCCCCCTTGCACTAATTGTGTGGTGGAAGAGGTCAAAAAAAGACTTTGGAAGTCATGAATTGTCCTTGAGAGTAAATCTATCGCAGACTTGTCAGGTGGGGGCACCAGATCATGCTGGAGTCTTACTTTGCCCCATTTCCATTCAATCACACACTTTTGGTTCCTGTTCAAGGTTTTAAAGGTTCCACTGGGATCATGTCAGAACAAATGCATTATTTATCGGGGCAGAGAATTCTTCTTCTTTCAACTTTGTGCATTTCCACAGTAATGGTCTCCCCAAGGCTGAGCTGAGCTAGGTCGAGCTGGGCCAGGTTAGGACCCAACACCTGAATCCCTCTGCAGCATTTTAGTCGGACAGCAGGAGCTGGTTTGATCATGTACCTGAAGACCAGCAGGAGTTTAAATGAGAAGCATTCATTATTGAAGCTGTCCAGACTCTGCTGAGCTGCTTCTAAATCACTTTTTTTAACACACTGATTTTCCTCTGAAGATTCCTGCACTTTCATCTCCCTCTCCAAACAGAGAAAATCAATCAGGCAGACAGCCTGATGCTGCGCTCACATCCGACTTTAACAACTAATTACTATTTCGACCACTGAATCAATTTCCATCATAGAAACTCAAAATGTATTTCCTTTTGTTTATTGCGCACGTACCTGTTTGCAAAGGACTATGGGAGTTAATGCCACAAGTTTGTCAACTTAAATTCTTCTTCTTTCTAATAATTGTCAGTTATACTGCAGTGTATAATCAATATGAACATAATCATCGTTATTATTATTACGAGTTCTTTCACTTGAGTGTCAGTCATAGAAATCTGACAGAGCCACTTCCTATTAGTTTATGATACTTAATTATTAATATCAGACGAGTGTTTTTATTTATTCTATTCTTTTTTTAAATTTAGTACTATTTTTCCCACAGGACGTATTAGGATTACCTTCATCAAGCTCTCTCCTTTTGTATCCTTTTTATCCCTGTTTTTGTAATGCAATTCTTCTTTCTTGTGTAAATGTCCATTCTGATTTAAGAAATTAAAAAGTCTCACAACACAATGTTCTTTCAACAGAATGAATCTGTCAATCGCCCTCAGCTCTGCCTCGTGTTAATAAAACCTAATTACTGCTGACAAGCATAAATGATCTGGATTACATTCACAACAAGGACAAACACAGGACAGTGGACAGGAAAAGTTATCTCATGACCAAAGTCATCAATATCATATATACCAAATATATCTAATAAATGGATATTTTTATGAGAAACCTAGGCCTGCAAATATAACAATGCTGTTATAAATGTATTAAATTCAAGAACAAAAGATCATTAAAATGACCAGGGCAATCTAAAGATATCTATAATAAGATAACAGCAACATTTTGCCACCAGAAGCTAAAAACTATTTACAAAAGCAATAAAAGCAGCAGAAGGGGTTAGGGTTAAACAACAATAGTTAGGTTAGCCCAAGAGGAGTGACATTTGATACACTTTACTTGACAGGAGTCAAAAATGAGCCAAAACGTTCTCTGAACAAATGCGGTAAATTTAAAATTGTCACTCCATAATCACTTCCTTTTTGCTCGTTTGTTGCATTAAATTATGAGAGGTCCATTATTTTACCACTTTTCTAAATGAATCTTGGGAATTTAATGTGGACCCAGCTCAGATAAGAGGGCACTAAATCACAACAAGCCTCTGTTCGTATAATCATGTAGAACAGCACCAGAGGATGAGTCAAGGTGCTTATTGATCACAATGGCGTAATTTTTCCCAGACTGCCTCATCACCTTTGATGAGAATAGAACAGCGATTCCTGTTTCCAATTCCCAAAATGAGCCGAGTCAATGTAATCAGCTTCAAGATATACGGCACTACGATCAATATTCCTTTTAACATTCCGAGTGAAAGAAAAGAGTTAGCGCGAGTGATTGGCGATGACCTTTGGAGATGTGACCTCTGAAACAGCACGGCTGGCCGGGATGAAAGCTCAGTAAAAAAAAGTCCAGAATGATAACCAAGTTAATGAGACCTCCATCAATAGCTTCATAATGTGATTTTGGTGCAGTGTGTGACAGAGAAAGACAAGGTTTTGTTAAGCAGTGCTGATGTGTGCAGACATCGAGTTTAAGCAATTACGATTGAAGATGATAACATTTTCATTAGTCAACTGACGGAGTGGACATGGCTTCTTTCATTTAGTCTCACGGGGCAAGAATTGCACATTTGTAACTGCATTACAAACCTTGCGAATAATCTACTTTCAATTGTTATTTTAACTTGCTTGATCCTTTTGTTGCTCCTGATTTGGTTCTTCATGAAGCAAGTCAATCATATCTTGCCCTCATACAGGCATAGAGGCATATTTTTTTAAACAGGGATGCAGAAATAAAAAAAAAAAAAAAAAAACAATTTCTTGGAAATCTGTTACGTCTCATTGCTTCTGTCCCGTTTAGTTTTCCAAGTAGGATTGTTTAGCTTGCTTGCTAACAACAGAAAGCAGTGTTGTTTACAGCAGTTTTATAATTAGAAAATACCAGTTTTTATGCAGGTGGAATAATTATATTCAGTTGTATTTATCCCCCACAACATAGAGGCCGGTCTGTGAAAAACATTGTATGGTTCTGTTAAACTATAAAACCTGAAAATGTGCTGTTACTAAAAAGCACACTAGGTGAACTAAGGTGAAAGGCTAAAGGTCATCATCAAAAATAAAAGGTGTGGGGGTGTATTTGCTTCACAAAGACTGCCATTTATCACAACATTTAACAACAATTTTCTTGCCTATTTTTTCTACCTTTGTTTATCTGGTTTTATTGTTCTTTGTCTTTGCCACTACTCTCCTATTACAAAAGTTTGCAAGAGGAGAAATAATTTCAGTGCACCACCATGTGAGCCACAAAGACGCATGTCCACTGCAGGTAAACTGAAACTGATGGCAGATCACAAATGCTTCAGTGGAATATTAATACTGACGACTGTAAATGAGGGTCTAAAATGAATCTTTCTCTGTCACAGCACGGCTGAAGCTGTTACTCCGACTGCGACCACTCAAGCACAGTCATTCATCATCCCTGCAGCTGTCAGAGATATGCATGTCCTTCAATGTCAGAAATACCATTCAAAGCAAAGGAATCACACAGACACTACTGTAAATATTAAGCATCTACAAACTAATGTCATACACACATCATATATTATAGAATTAAACATAATTTCTTTGAAAACTGTTTTTTAAAACATTTTTTACTTATTTTGGCTAAATCTCTAGCTAGCACAAAATGAAACAATGAAGCAGATTTCTCTAAGAACATGTCCTTTGTTTTACAGAACCAAACATGCAGGTCACATTAATGTACTGGGCTTCCTTTGCTTCTAATGTATTCATGACTTTTTTATTGAAGCATTTTTTAAAAAGTACTTGCTAATAAAGTAGCTAATTAACCTTAATTAGAGCATATTAAAAACATAGTAGATTATTTATGTCCACAGGTCTCACTACTGTAAATGGTGTGCATGAAATTATCTGTAAAAAGTGTGAAAATGTGTTATGTGTCATGGTCTGTACATAAAACAGCAAGAGAACATGTAATACTTAATGAATATCACACTGCCTACTGAGTACTAGTGGTTTTACTCCTTGTTACAACTGTTTGCATGAACTTCACAAATGACCTAACTCTATCTAAGGTGGAATTCAAGAAAAGTAGTAAAAATAATTGCCAAAAAATAAAGGTGTAAGACAAAAAAAGATTTGCATGTAAGAAAAGCAGAAAATAGAATTCCAAAAGAACACGGTCAGTGAGACTAGAGAACCAAGGAGGCATTCATAGCCTTAAAAAGGTTTGAGAGCTACAAAAAAACAATTTGATGTGAGCTGAATGCAGAAGAAACATGAAGGCAATCTCAGAGGGCTGCTGTGGCCAAATGGTTAATTCCATTTTATGGTCAGAAAGAATCTCTAACAACAACCAGAAAATGAGGATGCCTTTTAAGAGAAAGACCAGAGAACATCAGAGGAACAATAATTTTTAAATGTCTCTGGATTGAATAGACACAACCAGAAAAAAGTGTGAAAGAAGCACAAACTAAGTCCGTGAAATTTCTGGTTTCAAAAGAATAACTTCAATGAAGAACTTCAGTGGAGGTTATGTGAACCAGAAAAGTCAGGTCGGTCAAGCTGTTTAAGGTGACAATCTATCAGGAAGAGTTTTTCGAGACAATTAAAATGTCAAAGAATGTGAAATTCAAGATAACTTTGAAAACATACAAGAGCAAAATGCTGCATGGATTAGAAACATAAGTTCAACCTGATCATGTGTTGAGTTTTCACATGCTCCTGTTTCTTCAGTAAAACATCCTACTTCAAACCAGCGTTGTACGTCACCTGTGTTGTTTTCCCACATTAACTGCTAAAATTGCCTTGTTCCAAACATTTCCTGTCTAGTGGCAGCTTCCTTACACTGCCAGTGTACTGCCTGCTTCAGTAAACATGTGATACTATCAACATGTATTACGAGGTGGAACACTTCCAAAAAGCCTGCCAAGCAGCCTGCACTGTATCCTGCAACATTTTTCTTTTTTTAATGGAGAAGCATTAATTGGTCACGTAACAAACGCAGCCACAAAATGCCATTAGCTCTTAAAGAAGTCCACACTGGGCCAATGAAAGATGGATGGAAAGAAGTAGGTTTTTAGGGTAGTAAAGAAGCAGACAGAAAGTAAAACATATGATTCTGTGTTTTATGAGTTTTCCAAAGCTCACTTATTCCAAAGTGTGCACTGTATTTTCCAAAGATGATGCAGTAAAGCTTCCTGTAAAGACTCTCTTCCAGAAACACGTATTCAAGTTCAAAAACATCACCACAAGAGAAAGGAACATGAAGATAATGGAGGATCAGATGAGATTATATCTGCATGTGTTCTCCAACTCTTCTGTGTTACCAAGAAAGAATGCAGACACAAGCTACAAATCTTTTTTTTTTCCCTCCACCTCCTTTCTTTCAAAAGCATATTTTCCTAAATGAAAGCAACAAACGTTCTGGAAGGGTTATTTAATCAGAGTTGCTGGCTTCCGCAGCCGGTGTGATTCCAGAACAGGATGATAGAACATCATTCCACACCCTATGTTGTCACTTCCTTGTTTTGCCAATACTATAAAAATGAACAAAGCACAGGGCTAGAGGGTTTCCAGGTTTGTCAAAGCTTTGGAAAAAAAAGACCATCTGACACATCAAGTTATTATATGGCCTTACACATAAAAGTGTTAAAGCTTCCTACTAGACAATTTAAATCAAAGCCCAGGAGTGTGGACAGCTATTAGGATTGAAAAGTTCAGGAAACATTCAGCAAGAAAAAAGATGCCCAGAAAGGTGGGTTGTAGGTTTGACTTCCAGTTTCACCTCTATTGATCTATGTCCCTATTTTCTCTTGCCTTTTTAAATAATAGATTAAAAGAAAATCAAAGAAAAACTATTAATTACTTATACTTACTTATTTTCCAATTTGACAAGGAAAGAATGACTCCGTAAAAGATCTCTTGTCCTAGGTCAGTGTAATATAATAGAATAGAATAACCTGTGAACATTTTCTGAGGTTAAGCTGCAATTTTATCAGAAGGGGAGCTCTATTTTTATTTCAATATCCAATTTAGAAGTTACTACACAAATCTGTAAGAGTTCCACATACAATTGAGAAACAGGGACTTTTTCGCAGAGTACTTTAGCTTTGTAATAAACCAAAATGGCACATCAAAGACAGACTTTGTTTGGTTTTGCCATTAACCAAACATTTGTGTTTTACTCTGGGCTTCTAAGTGTACACACAAACACTTGTGCCTCTGCACCTGTGAATTACGCTAGCTGTCACTCAACACGTTGTATTCTGAGACAGATGGAGGTGATGTATGACTCACTGCTGACCCTGCAGACAACCTGGACAAACACTTCCACAGTAATCAAAGGTAGAGCACCACCAATACACTAACGGCTACAGACAAAGGTAATGAAAAAGATTGGATCCTTCATTGTTGATCCCTTCTCAAAGGGACTGGTGTGATCAAAACAACAATGCTGAGCCAAACAAAAAAAAGAAACTGAGAAATTGCAGCTCCTTATGGGATCATGGGATATGACATGTAATTTCGCAAGTTTTATACATGGCTAAGCCTAAAGGTAGTACCGATAGGCCAAAGGACCACCTTGCACATAAAATATTGGATGCAAATAAGACCACAAGCCAATGGGGAGCCCAGGATTTTTAGATCACAAAGACACTCCTATACAAGGTCTAGGAAATGTAAGCAGATATTTTCAAATCAATAGAGAATGGCATGTAGATTCTAAGACGAACTGTAGCCCCTACGTAGCACACTGGTACCTACACTTCTTTACCTAACGTAGTTCCATGCTCATGTGGTATTTATACCATGGTAACATAATGGTTTCTTTTGCTCAGGACCATAAAAGTCACTCAAATTGATTTTAATCTTAACATTATTTTTAATATTTTTTGTGATTCTGCTATAAAAACTATCTTCAATTGTCAATTTAATTGAAATGGAAATGTTTTTTTTATTTTTTTTATATAGACACTTCACCTATTACAACAGATTTCTTCACTGTTATTTACATGAAAATACTTTTATACCAATGAACTTATACCAATGACGTCAACATAAAATCTTCTAGACAGTTGTCATGCAGATTATTGTTTCTGTTTTTTAATTTTTTGGTTTTATCTATTTTTTTTATTATTATTATTTACACGTCCTTCAAAATGCACTTGTCCAGTTGGTTTTCACTCTGTCCAAAGATAAAATTCAGCAGATTTGCTGTTTTCTGACGACCCAAAATCAATAAAATTTCTATTTTACATAATCCATCCAGGCTATGTTTTTCTCCCATAGAAAACGTGAAAAAATGTCTGTACAGCATCCCAAGTAATGAAAATAAAATAAATGCTTGAAGTCAACGTGAAAATAATCCTCGTTTCAGAAGTCATTGAATTATCTTTGTAGATCATCTGAGTCATTGTCCCATCAGCGAAAACCACAAACCCAAGTCAAAGAAAATTGCTCCTACCTCACAAACTGCTGTTATGAGCCCGCAGTGATGCTGTGTGTGAGAGCATGAAGCTCTCAGTACACTGCTGACTACTGGAGGATGGTGACCTTCGAGGTGATCGCTGGAATCGGCCCCGTCTGTTAAAGTAGCTGCTGGCCGACCAGGAACGCTTGTGCTTCCTCAGGTATTCCTTGTAGTTCTTGGTGAGCAGCGTGTAGAGGAAGGGGTTGATGCAGCTGTTGGAGTACGTCAGACACGTGGTCAGGTAGTTGATGTTGCGTTTGGCCTTGTTGGAGAGGGACAATGTGGGGTAGAACTGAAACAACAGCTGCCAGATCCAGAATGGCAGGAAACAAGCCCAGAAGAGGAGAACAATGGTGAAAATCAGGTACAACACCTATGGGGGAGAGAGCAGAAACCAAGATGATAACTCTGTGGACCTTGGTTTAGTTTTGGATTTTTTATTAAATTTTAAAAAAGTAAACAAACCAAATTTATAGCTTTTAATTTTTCGTAAAATATGTTTAAATTGTTCCCTAATTTCAACAGTGAAACACTTTTGTTAAGCACAACGTGAAGTTGACACATGCTCCCAAAGTACACAAATTCCAATGTCTTTCATAAGGCAGTTGATACTGCCAGCCAATGGAAAAGTTGTCGGACATACATGGGATAAAGAAGGTAAAACTTAGCCAAGAACTTTGACAACAGTAGTAACCAAATTTAAAAAGAACAGCTGCTAACAGCTAGCAAAATAATTGCGTAAAATTATTATCAATTGGGCAAGACAGAAGGGACCTTGCAAAAAGCAAGAAACTGAAAGAATTGGCTAAAATGGGGCCCCACATCCCATCCCAAGTACAAAACACAATCATTAGTCATGAACATCTGTTTGAGTAAAGATAACCTGATCACAGTTGGTTTCCATTTTAGGGACACCATTACGGAGATCAATTATTCATTGCTACACAGGAGCCAGGTTACCAGCTCTTCTGTATGGGGACTGTGTAAAAAGGAAATCACTATGTAAATGACGATCTATGAAAGCAGTTGAGCACTTGAGCAAAACATATTTATTTTGATCACTGTCACATCTCGGTCCTCACCTTCTTGAATCTGCTAAGACTTGTCTATATTTAGGAGATACGCTACGCTAACGCTGACCTTTCTATTAATCAGCAGGATGGACACTTGGTCTACATCATTAAACTCTGGCACTCTTGCTCCAGCATGATGAAATCATGCATGGACCCTCTGCTTCACTCAGCTCTGAATTATTATTACTGCAGCAGTAGGAAGGAAACACTTCTACAAGAAGTACGGTCTGCATTTAGCATATTTTACCCTCCAGATACAGAGTAAACCTCAAGAACAGCCTTAAGGGCAACTGAAGCATTTGACAGTGCTGCTGTGCCGTAAAATATGAGCAGAGAGAGGCAGACTTTTGTTTTTTAAACCTATGTCGATAGGAAAAGTTTAATAATGGAGTCTTTTAGACTGGCAGTCCAGGATGATAATGTTCAAAAAGCTCTAACTGGTTTTATTAGATCTCAGCCAAAATGACTTAGTTGTTGGCAGACCTGTATCTTAACAGCCGTATGGAGCACATAAAATATTTACTGTCTCCTAAGGATATATAACCTTCTCAATCACTGCATTTATAAGCTTGGTGATTAACCCATTTAATGTGTTACCTGTTAGCAACTTATCAGTTTTAAGGGTTAGTTCTTCAGTGTTCAACCAAATTCAACAGGTTTGTAAAGGTTGGTAAAGGTTTGTCTGTTGTTAAGATAACGGACCTCCGTCTATTCCAGGGGTGTCAGGTTTTCTTTCTCCCAAATGCTGATACGTTAACATCTGAAGATATGAAGACGAGAGCAGATGATTTTCTGTAACTAATTATTTTTTGTTCTTCTGTAATCACCACTTGTGTTTAGCCAAACTGAATTATTTTTTAATGAAACGATTACCAAGACTAGATTTTAGATAGTTTAAAAAAAACACTTGTTGTTGTACACATGGAGACCACAGATAGACCTTAGGAATCTCTGACAACAATTACACATCCTAGCACAACCCATCTTTTGATAATGAGTTGTTGATTTGAGTTGTTGATTTGTTAGTTGTCATGCCTGAGGACAACCCTTAGCGTATATTTTTAATCTTTTCAAAGGCTGGATTTAAAACATTAATTCCTGTGCTACACTGACCTTTTGATTGGGAAGTTTCTTGGTCTGTTTAAAGGTCTCTGTCTGCGAAACCCAATATGTGCGTGCAAGCTGGGTGTAGAGATATCCAATAATCAGTCCTGGTGCCACAATGCTAGTGCAAAATAAGAAGGAAATGTAGATCTTGTAGGAGAGCTGGGAGAGTGTGGACCGACACATGGCTTTGGTGCCGACCGACATGAGCTGGACGCTCACGATCATGGGCAGGGCCAGTACGAGAGAAGCAGCCCACACCAGCAGAGCAATGGCCTTCCTGTAACTTTTAGATCTCTTCACTGTGTCCAAAGGCTTCAACACAGCAAAGTATCGCTCCGTGCTCATGATGGTCAGTGTGAAGATGCTGGCATGCATGGTAAGGAAGTCCATGCTGATAAGGATACGACACCCAGTGTTTCCAAAGTACCATCCTTCCAAGAAGTGTGTGCAGACGACAAAGGGTATGGTGAGGAGGTACAGCAGATCTGCAAGAGCTAGGTTAATGATGTAGATGTACATGGAAGCTGCAGTCCTCATAGACTGGCACATGACCACCAAGGTGTAAATGTTCCCTGATACACCAACGACGCACATAATGGAAAGGATTGTGCCGATGGTAAAGGTCGCCGCAGAGTCCTCGTGAGAGCTCAGAGGGGCATCAGTGGCATTGGCACCTTTTTCCACAAGGACTCCAACAGGCTCCATGGACATGGTTGTCATTTCTATAAGGGTGGGGAAAAAAAGGGTGCAAGTTGTTAGAGCAACACTCTCCAAAGTAAATTGGGTTTCAGTCAGTAAAGCAATAGCAAAAATGAAGAATATTGAATTGAGTGTGGTTTGTGCAATATATGCTAAAATATATATATTATGATTATTAGATATAATATAATAATAACTATTATTATATTATAATAATAATAGTGATAAGAGAATAGTCATGACATTTTGAAAAATACTTTTGTTTCCTCAAAACAATTGCTGATTGTGAATAAACTCATTTAACCGGTCATAACATTCAGAAACCATATTTATAGTATTTGTTTATATAGTAATTGCAGTTAAGAAAAAACATGGGCCAGCTGCTGCTCTTTCATTCCTTCCATTAGAGCTTTGTCCTTGAGTGGTTTCTAGGTCACGGTCACGTCAACACACGAGAAGCTTGAGGCCTTTTAATGGTGACTGCAGCACAAGCTGTACATTGCCTGACTCCTGGACACCTGTATGCATCTTGGATTATTTTAATACTTTAAATGGATGAAATTTATTCAGACTCGAGATCCAGTCCTACCTTGTACCATTTGTACCTCACCTGTTTTCAGAGGTTCAGAGCAGGTGTCATCAGATGCCTCACACTAATAGAAACACATTTTTATTCTTTCAAAATATTTTAAGGTAGACCATGTTCTAGTACATTTAAATCAAGCAAAGGGGCTTATGGACTGAATCTGAACCTGATGTGTTTTTACTGAAAAGGGATCCATAGAATTGTGATAAAATAATATTTTTAGATGCATTTCTTCCAACAAATGACCTGACTTCATCATGAAAACTAGATTTTTATTGTTTCTACTCTTCCGCTCCGTCATATATTGAAAAATGTAATCAAATTATTGTTGATCTTTGTACGAGTCACTCACATACAATTCTCAAAAGAACCTACAGTACAACTGTGTTCAGTGTAGCAAGTGCCTGTTGCACCAAACAGCAAGTCAATCTAATTAATGTGTGTTAAATTGACTCTAATTAAATTGAAATAAATCATATCAAATATACAATAAATCATCAAATTGAAAATGTATTTTATTCTATAAATAATTGAACAGTGTAAAATTGTGTTGAACAAGGTCATTAAGAAGGATCCAGTTGTGTTAAGTATTGAGTAAAATCACAATATATTTAAGTTTATACATATATAATTGTTTGTACTTTTATTTCGTGGCATTAAATTTTTCAAGTGGTAAATGCGCCATATGTAATTTACAGACTTAATTTTATAGTTCTGTACAAAATGCACCATTTTCCTGGGTCATACTGTGTTGAGTTTAACAAAGAACATATTACCGGTACATTAAATCATAATAAACTTTATTACATCGATCTTAGCACATGTTATTGCACCTAATTGCATTAAAGTGCAATAATCCATGTTTTGGTCAGTCATATCATAGTGATTTTTACTCAACTCCATTCTAGTTTAATGACTATGATTAGCACAGTTGTAGGAAAATTGACTAAATTAATTAACACCGTTACTGTATGCAGGCGAAATTATGCCATTGACATGCAAAGTGTTTGTCCAAAAAAGGTCAAGTTACTCTGAGTCCATAGAACTGCTGACAGGCTCACGAGTAACTCACACTTAATTCAAACAAATACCAAGTTGTGAGGACCAAACACCAAGGAGAGAGATGGAGTCAAATGAGGCAAATTAAAAAAAATTAGTCTAACAAACGCTCCTGCTACACTCGAAAAACTACAACAGCTTCAAATGATTCATTTAAGTGTTTTGGGGGTGGAAAAAAGGCAGCTTGAATGTGAAGGGAAGTGAAATGTTTAAAGTGCTCTTACCTAGTCTTCCTCCTGGACTGTGGTGCCTCAACACGCAGCTTCACTCCCATCAGCCATGCTCCGACTCTCACTATGCTCCTCCAAAGTTCTTCACATGCTGTGCAAATATTTCACACATCATAAAAATACCAAAGGGATTATTGCAGAGTATCTGGCAAATGAAACACACACACACGCACAAGGTGCAGTGTAAATATGCATCAAGGAGAATCCACATTTAAAAAAAAACAGAGTTGATAAGTCGTCTGAAAGTAAATTACAACTGTCCAAAATATTTAGATTTAATTTTCTATTTCAAGTCGTTCAATATTTGCACATAAGTGGCATCCATTTTAACCCAGCAGCAGCAGAGATAGAAAAATATAACATGGAAAAGATGATGAGAAGTGGGTCTCGCAGCAGTTTACGGAGGGTGCCCCCTTGACTGAGTGAGTGTGAAAGAAAGAGGGCTTGAGGTAGACAGAGAGAGAGGGAGAAAGGGAGGAAGGGAGAGAGAGTGATAGAAAGAGAGAGGGAGAGATGCTGCTGCTTAAGCTACCTCCCTCTAAAGCCAAAACTGAGGGGAGTGGAGGGAGGGGGCGGTAAGAGAGGGTTATGCAGGAAATGCGCCCCCCTCCCTCCCTCACACCATCTATTTCCATGCAACAGGGGTGTGTGTGTGTGTGTGTGTGTGTGTGTGTGTGTGTGTGTGTGTGTGTCTAACAAACTGATACGCGACTGGAAACAGAACAAACTCACACACACTCAGGATAAATCACAGCAAAGGCAATCGCGGTTCATTTGTTTCAGTGCAGGGTTCTGATAGGACCAAAGTCAGTGATGCCACTGACTGCAGCAGCACTCACACTGTCACACACACACGAGCGCACACACAGCATGGTCATCAAACATCATCTGCTGCGGGAGCCTGCGCCAAACTAAACAATGTCTTTGTCCTTGTTGATGCTCAATTAAATGAACAATGTGTATAAGCTAGGTGGGTCTGTTTTCTGCTGCAGCTCGTTCTGAACAAAACGTTTTGAGTGTCTTAAGTGTTATGTTGTTAATGTAGCCTTTTTTCTGACATTACACATAGTTTTAAATTGTGTGAAAAAGGAGGGTTCGACTGATCTTCATTATTGGCAATGACTTAAAATGTTTTTGATGACTGGCCTGGTAACTGGTTAAGGTTAGTTACCAGGCTTGGTGACTGTCTGCTAATGTGAAATAAACGGGCAATTTACCTCAAGTTTACTTTTCTTAGTAAACAGAGAGACTGCTAAGTAACTTCAGGTAATAAAAGTGGAACACATAGAAGCTTCCAGATAAATGAACCCTTGGCTTAAAAACATGGCAACAGTTGGGACAGTGACACAGTTGGAGCTCTCAGTAAGTGCTGTCACATTTGTAGATCTAAAACAAAACAAAAAAATGACATCTTCATTATACTGCAATACATCATAATTACAGTAAACTAAAGCAGGGACCCCAACCTCCGGTCCAAGGACTAGTACCAGGCCGCAGTGGGACACAGTTTTAATTTTTTTACTTTTACTAATTGACTTTATTCAAAAGGAAATCCACTCACTATTAACTTTCTCTTCTCTTTAAAGATAATCTGGCAATATTTAAAAATGTCACTGAGACTGCATTACTAAGGGAAGAAATGTTTTATTTTAAAAATGTAATGATCATTAATGATAATTCAACAACTGGTCCACAGTAATGGTCAATACCGGCCGACCGGATCTTGATACAAATAAGGTTGGGGACTCGTGAACTAAAGTAAAGAAAAGAAAATCTAGGCTACAACCGTTTACTGTTTTGACATGTAAGCAAATCAAAACAAACCATTTCAAGGTCATGTCCCACCAGTTTGATTTACACAGAAATCCAAATGCTAAATAGAAAACAGCGAGGTTAGTAATGCACGTTTGTGGGTCCAAGGACCACTCAAGGCTCTGGATTCTCAAAAAGCCCGTCATACATTTAGAAAACAGTCACTCACACATTAACACAACACATCTGTTAAAGCGGTTCGTATTTTAACTTGTGCTTTTATATCCAGTTGTTCAATGCCAGCACAGCTCACAAGGGCAGCTTGAGGTAAGAGAAGAAATATGTCTGTTTTCAAAATGTAACACTGCTGTTTGGGGCCATTACGACAAAAACCAATGAACCAACATATCCCTGGTTTTCCTTCTTGTATTTGTTTGTGAATGCAGCACTGCTGTTACAAAGCAGAATTTCAGAAACAGACATTAAGAATCTGCTTTTCACCCTTTAATGTGCACAAGATATTATAATAAGTGGTTTAAAGAACAGCAATAACCTGATTTTTTTTCTACAAGCATTCACACAACTATTTTTAGTAAAGTCCAATGCAGACCAGAGCGGGTGGCTTTCATGATTACTAATCCAGCAGAATCACTATCTTTCACTATGTGGTTTAAGAACCAAGTAAAGTATTAGAGTCATGGACTTGGACTGGGATGCTAATCAAACACCTCTAGGAGCAGGAGGATGACCAGTGTGATCGCCATCTTAAAGTTTAACGGTCTCCGCGTGAATCTGCTCAAGTCCCTCATGTAGATGTCAAAACTACAGGAGTCAACAGTTAACAGTTAAAAATAAATTTGGCTAACTGGCTAACTACATTTCTAGGCTGACTGATCTGGCTACAAATCGGCAGACATAAACAATGTCTAGGTACAATCCTATATTCAGTACAAATAGGGCATAATGAATTTTAATTTTTAAATATAGTATTTGGCTTTTTCTTTTTGGCTTTCTTTTGGCTAAGTGTCTGTTATGCTTTGGCTACTTTTTAAAAACAACTTTGGCTACCATTTAGTGTTGATAACCATTTCAGCACATAAGTTAATTTAAACGTTTTAGATGGTTTTAGCAAACTATAAGAACAAAGGTTTTAATGTTAAAGTTTTTTTTAAATTTTCTAGCTGTATTAGTTTGTGTTTAATACTAATGATGAAGGTGCTGTAGCTTTCATAAACCCCTAATGGCAGCAGTAGTCAGACAGCTAGACTGCAACATTGACTGTATAAGTGTCCAGACAGTGTCTAACTCTGACGGCTGATTATCAACACTCCCTCAGTATATTCACAGATGGCCTCTCATTTTATGAGCATGACCTCTACAATAAACAAACACACACACACACGCTTGTCTATTGCTGCTTATAGTTATTCTGGATAACTCAGATAGGCCGGCACACACGTGTCAAACCCGGGACGCGGGCCAAATCTGGCCCATGGTATAATTATATTTGGTCCACGAGAACATATCAAATGTGTTTTAGAGCAGGCATGCCTATATACAAAGGCACTATATACTGGCAAGATTTTTAGTATTAGCGACATATGCACGATATTATAGCAAATACATTTTTGGTTGTTCTTTTGTTGGCCTGTGAGAATGGATTTACATCAAAGAGGAACTCAAAAGACTAGATAGAGAGAGACATAATAACAAACAAAAACCACTAATGTGTTTTATTTCAAATGTAATTTCTCATGTTTATAATATCAAGCGTTGGTTGCTCCAGATTTAATGTTTACGCAAAACTAAAGTTTGTTTCAATGTGGAAAAAAATCATTATACATCTGGAGAGAAGGGAAAACATGCACATTTTCAGTCAAATTTTCACTAAATATTGAGTTTGGCCCACAACTTCGTCAGTTTTTACTTTTGGCCCACTGTGAAATTGAGGTTGAAACCTCTGGTCTAATGAATCGTAAGACGTCTCCGTAATATTAATAATAAACATTTATTTATTAATGTATTATTAATAATATTAATATTAAACCTGCATCCATCTTCACTCCAGTCCTACAGTCTGGTATTTTATACCAGATTTACCACAAACACTAGTATAAACATTTGGACCCTAGTATTTTTTTTTCACAAACTGCTTTAAGAAATGTAAGCAGATTTCTTTAAAAAAAATTTACTTTAGATACTGTTTGTTTTTCTAAAGCAATATTGACATGCACTTACACTTGCCAAACCAGTCATAAAATCTAGTACAGGCTGTCAGAAAGATTTGTGCATAGCTCGTTTTGCCTGAGTGTCGTTGCTGGCAGCCATTATTCATCCCGCCTACATACATACAGGCATGGATCCATACTTTACCTGCAGCCCCGTGAATTCTGCATGGTCTCAGTGTATTGACATACAAACAAAGGGTGGTTTTAGTGCCGAAGTGACACGGTGACCTGGGCGGTTAGAAGGTGACAGCTGTAAATACATGACTGTAAAAAGCCTGTCTGTTTCTGCATGAGATCTGATTACCTGTAGCACAGTTAGATTAGATAAGACTGCAGCTACAGACCAGAGAATGAAGCTGCAATCACACCAGGATGAATTGATTCTAATTACAAGGTGCCCAGTGGGAAAGACTGTTCCTGGTAGTCTAGCAACTGATAATAATGAAATTCAAGCTTCTTTTTCTTTTTTTCCCAAAACAAGTTTTGTCCGACTCTGCATTATAAAACTGAACTTCCCTCTAACATGATAACTTTAAAGTGACATGAACCAAATGGTTGAAGACCTACACAGACACTGGTCTATGACAATCAACAGCAGACTACTTTTATCATATTAAAGGTAACCTGTACAGATCAATTATATAAGTAGGTAAATTAAAACACCACAGTTCTATGCAGGGGTCACCAATGTGGTGCCCTCAGCTAGCAGCCCCCGTGGAGAACCTAAGGTGTCACGAGGTATGTTCTAAAAATAAAACTAGTCAACAAGAGTGTCAAAAATTGTACAGTACTCAAAATGTGCTTTTTGAATCAGTTACAGTGATATTCAAATGGGTGCAATAATGATGGTAAGAAGAGTGTCTACTGTTGTATGTCCCAGTACTGATTATTATTACATTGTTCAGGAAGTTTGTATCAAACAAGCTCTCTGTATTTCAAGTGTCCTTGAAGTAGTTCTCAGTTTCAAAAAGGTTGGTGACCCCTGGTCCTATCAAACATCTTATGGTACAACAGTGTGTCCCATGAGGAAACACACAAAAAAGAGAGAGTATTATACACATAAAATATCCATGATGAACTTGCCTCATGACACGAAGACACTTCTTCTCTACCAGAAGTTTTTTCCTGTTCCGGGCTGCTTCTTCTAAAGACTAATTCCACATGACACAGCCTAAAAAAAAATTCAATCCACACAGCAGTCCATCAATTGTTTCATTCATCAATCACTCCATTTACAAATGTCATCTATAATTTGTACTTGAAATTACCCCCAAAACTAAAAATAAATTGTAATGCAGTTCTATAAGAGCTTTTACTGATTCCATTGTTTAAATGAACTCCTTTGAAAACAACAGAAGTATTTTAACCTGTTTCTGTTCACCTTACTGAAGGTCTCAGGCTCATGTATTTAATTTGCCATACATCGTTTTATTTGTCAGATGGTCACTATTTTCTTAACATTGACCTGCATTTTTTGATCTGAACTTTCTATCTGGGGATAGAAAGTTTAAAAGGTATGTTAGTTCTATAATAGCTATAATTCTATAAAAAGCTATAATTAATAGAACATTGACTTAAAGGTTGTGAAACCAAAGTATTTGAATTCAACTGTCAACTTAGTTAAATACCTGGAACCAAACTCTACCACTGACCCGTCTGCTTTTGTTTGTGGCTCAGTTAAATGGGGCGCTTCTTTCCTGTCGGCACAAATTCAAACGCTTCATTACTAGGCTGGAATGATTGGATATTTCAAAGCTGCTATGACCACAACAAAAGAGCAGCACAGAAGAGCATTTAGTATGAGCAATGATTATATTGTCTGCACATGTAATCCAGGGACTGCAATCAGGCAAAACAGACTATTTACTTTAGCACTGGGTTTAAATGTATACCTCTATCCATCCATCTGTGGCTGAAGATGCAATGGAGGAGGGAAAAAAATGTAAAAACAAAATTAAGGGAAGACAAAGGAGGAGGTAAAAATGTTTATTGTAACTGTAGCCAAGGCCAAATATGTGGTGGGATGGAGGCAGATGACCTGCTGTGGTGACCCCTGAAGGCAGCAGCTAAAATAGGAAGAGTGACTTTCAGGGCTGTGCTAGAAATAGTTTTGACATCATCCAAAGTGTGTATTTCACATCCAGAATAGTGGTATAATAAAGAGCTAACAGAGTTTCAACCTGCATTTTTCTCATAACTGGCCTAACTAACACCCCCACTACCTCCATCATTAACTCCTACCTACTTCAGCCAATAATTGTTTTGGCTCCTTGGAATCAAATTTCACATAGGGTTAAACCCAGAGTGAAGTTCTCTCTTTAAGAGCTCATCCGCTATTATCACTGAAGCTCAACCAGAAATTTGACTCAGAAAGTGAAACAGGAGGACTTTTCAGAATGTTCTTCCATAAAGCCCCCCCTCCTTAATTTGAAAGTGGAGGTTAATGATAATAATTTCTCTCAGTTGGATGTTTTCAGACTGAAACTGGACCCTTATAAAGGATAATTAGTATGGGTATTTTTACACTGATAAAGTGCAGCATCATTCTGTCGGTGTGAAGAGTCCTGTGGAGAGAACTAACAGAGCAGAAAGATGGAATCATGAGGAGATGGCAGAGAGCCAGTATTAAAGCTCTTGTGTGTACAGATCATTAGTCCCATATGGAGCAAGAAGATAAGAGTGATAGAAGTGTGTGTATAATGAACAAGTAACAGGAAAACATGATAAAGACTGGAAGTCTTCATCACGAGCAGCCGTTGAAAACTACAAGGGCACAACACAAGAAAAGTCCAGATTTAAGTCTTTTCCTGTATTTCTGTGTCTGAATTCAGCAGCAACTCAGGTTGGAACAACACTGCCCCCTAGCTCCTTCTCTTCCAACATCCTCCCTTCCACTTCATTTCCCCTTGTTCTTTCCTGAACTTCATTTTTTTACACCAATACCTTTTTACTTGCATGCATAAAATGTATATATGTGTGTCAGATTAGAAACAAACTTTGTTCATGCTAACCTTTAACTATAAATCTGAACTTTTATCTTCTTGCTAATCCTGGTAAATATTTGCTAAGCATAACCTACTTAAAGGTCCCTCATCATAATTGTTACCTGAGGTCCATTAATTCATATAGAGGTCTCAGTTATTTTTCTGAAACTTAAGTCATGTTGTTGCATTCAGCTACATTTGTAATGAGCTTAACTTATCATTAACCGACAGCTATGTACAATTATTTTTGGTGTTATTATTTTTGACCTGTCAATATTAGTATTACTTTAGCTTTCAATGTTGGCAAACAAAGTTTTTTTGTTTGGTTCTTTATCTGTGATCAGATTTGGAATTTTGTTTTAAACCATCCTTTTGTCAAAGGATCAATTTCTGGCCAATCCTGAGCTCACATTTAACTGATTTTAAAATGCATGATTAGCTCCAGTCCCTTTACAGAATGTCTTGCTTTACTGCATTTGCTCCATATTTAACAATTTTCTTTACATTTCTGTCCAGTAGCCAATGATATACACTCTTTTATCAGCTGCAGCAGCTGTAGTCTTCCATCCTGACATTTTGTTGTCCTTCACATGAAACCACATCAGTATCCCTTCAGACACTTTCAATGAAAAACAGATCACTGTCTACCAGCTGTGGCTCCACTCTACCGTCTAGTTCCTGAATCTGCTATTTTTTAAAGTAAAAACCATTGCAATCAGCTGTGGAATTTTTTTTTGTCAGAAAAAAATCTCACATCATAGTTTCATGCCCTTCTTTCATGCCGATTTTGCTTTGTTCTTTTTGTTACTTTCTAGCTATTTTTCCAAACACTTAGTAGCAATATTTCTTAGTGACATACCGATTGTATTCCAGCCTTCTAGCATGTTGTTTTCCTGCATGTCGACAATGATATCCTCTTTTCCACGGCTGGTTTGCCAGGCTGCAACCTGCTGTCACAGACGTCTGCTCTAAGACAAGAGAAGTTATATGGAAAATGTCAGAGGAAATAAAAACAGATCTTGCTCTAAAGTGGGTCAAAAAAACAATCAAACACTTTAACTGTGGACAGATGGCAGAATATTGAGATAAGACAGAATTAAAATAATGATCTTCAAATGGTTGCAGAGAATTGTTTGGTCAGCAATCAATTTCTGATAAACATTTAGGACATTTTTTGCAGTGCTTTATTAACTGGTATATTTGAACCTAACTTTTTTCTACAACTTAAAGACCAATATCAAAGTTAAATATTTCAGTTTTTTTTTTCATTTATGGTGTTTTAACATTTAGCTGTATTGTCTATGCTCAATAAGCTTCTATTTTAAAACTGAAACTTACAAAACTTAAGTTTCTTTGGTTTTATTTTTTAGTTTAATTAGAAATTACTTGCATGATCATTTATTTTCTCTTGACTAATATTTTTGTTCACTATGAGAAAACACATTACATATTACTTTATAGTTTATTTACAACAAACTTACTAAGAATCAAGGCCAGTTCTCCTCAAGCCTAATGCTGAGTTCCCACCAAAATAAGGAACATTTGACCGGGATGTGGCTCAGATGGTAGCCAATGTGGGCCAAAAAACATACATGATTTATTGCATTAGGTTGGAGGAACGGTCTTCTATGGTATGTGGGTGAAGCCTTTTGTGCTGGAGTTACGGCCAACAGAACATTAAAATGTCAAATATTTTTAAATAGTGGAAATAAAAACATTCATGCCATCATTCCTCTTCAAACATTAAAATGTCAATTTTTCTGGAAAGAAAATGGTATAGTTCCATTAAGTCATGTAAACATTTGTCACGTTTAGAAAATTCACACATGATTTTCTTGAATTTTTTTTTTAGCCACAATCCCTGCAGACATGACTTAAACATAACGTTTGGTTCCAGTGACCTTTAACTAATAAAAACTCATTAACCTGTTCCAGAACACTACATGCAAATCTGTGGCTTATACAAACCCCTGTTCTGATGTCACTGCTCACAGGAACAGACTGAACTGATAGAGTCATGAGACTGTGAGGCTCCAACAGTACAATCAAACAGTGACTATTTTTGGCAGCACGTGCAGTAATTACAAATAAAATTATATTTGACCTTCTATTTCTCTGCTACAAAATAAAAAATAAATCCAGCTCGGGGATGACTTTCTGTAAAAAAAAAAAGAATCTGATTTGTTTGCAGCATCTGCACATCAGTGAAGCTTTGCACCACGATGGAGACAGAAGGTTGTGGAAGGTCAGTAATTACATTTGGACCAATCTGTCGAGACTGAAAACTTGTATACAGTCATTACTGACAGTGAATTTAATACCATGACGACTCTGCTGGTGCTCCAATTCAGCTCAGAGACAACAGAAGATAACAACGCTGCTATAATTTCCAGTAGTTTCAGATAAAAAAATAAACATTTTAACAATTCTTGTAATTTTGATCAATTGATTTTCAATCTCTATTTTTAATTTGTCATGTCATAATGCTTTGTAGAATTTGTTTAGCTAACATTTAGCTATTTTGCTGAATATTTTTGCTTATTTATGGCTATTTTTATTCGTAGTTTTACTCTTTACCTTTTTAATAACACGCTCTTATTTCACCTAATAGTCTGATTATTATTGGAACAAATTTTTCAAACATTCTTCTGTCTGATTATTTATATTTTATGAATATTTGTTGACATTTTTGTTGTATTTGGCCAACAATTAACTAATTATGTAATAACTTCAGTCTCTCCTCTGTAAGCTAAGTCACTCATTCTATTTGTCATTATTTGCAAATATTTCTTGGATTTTTAACAACTTTTAACACATTCTTTAACATTTGATTAAATCCAGTAAATTAAAAGTTAAAAGTTTTGTTATTTCACTTCTTTATTTTCACAAAATGAAAAAACAACTTTAAGGTTAATCTGCAAACCTAAACGTGCAGGAAAGACCAATTATTTCCTCTTTAGTGCCCTGGTTTAAATTCAGTCTCAGCACCTTTATAACCCACCCATTCAGCATCTAACAGGTCTTGCAAATTCATGGAATTTTCAAGACGCCCCTTCACGTTCTGACGACAGTTGGTGTAAAATACCCTGGAACAGTGTGCTAAGCTCCTGACAGCCTGGTTCTCCTGTTCAAATGTCATTGTAACGAACCTTCTTTTTTTAAACATATGTGGAAAAACTCATATTTCCATATTTGAGAAAAAAAGTCATGAATATTTCTGACAGCAACAGAGCTGAGATGTCCTAGCCAGGATAATTTTGGAGAAATATCACATAGAAACTAGGACAGTATTTCTGACCCAGACTCGGAAAAGCAGACAAGGGTGCTACCATAAAAGATTTTTTAATTATTATTATTTTATAGCTTCATAAATTACTCATTACATATATAAATATATATACATATATGTATACATATGTGTATATATACACATATATATATACAGTATATATATATAGACACAAGCACATGTACCGAGGATCTATTATGAAGACACAGTCCTTCATGACCTGCTTGAATCTTCTCATAACAGAATGACAAATACTGGCTTGATAATTAATGTTCTATTGGAGACAGCTAATAATAGCATGAAGAGATGCTACGCAGGAAGACGTTTTGAAGCTCTTTTGTTAACATTTGGCCTTGGGTTAAGTTACACTAACCCCATTTTTATCACCGCACCACTATGTTTTTCTGTGATAAACACATAAAACAAACAGCCAAAGTAAAATAAGTGGTTTTCATACAAACAAAAATGTTTCTTCTCTAATATGAGGACGTTTTTTCCTTGCAAAGTGGGACTATTCTACCGGAGCTCATTTAATGTGCAGTGAGGTCATCTTCATTCAAGAGCAGGAAACGCACTCCTAAAAAGTCCTTCAGAACTCCCCTGAGTGTGATGCCCTTGTTATAGCTCCCGTGGAGATGGGGAAAAAAAAAAAACAGGAATCAATTTCCTTCGACTGACTGACAGAGTGTTGGCCCTGCAATAGTCTTCAACAAGTGTGAATTATCTCTGAAGTAAGGAGTCAATGGTTTCGATCGGACAATTTGACAGAGACAGTTACATATCTACAGTTTTAACACTTGAAACAAATCCTAAAAATAAATTGCTAAAAATGTTTTTATTAGCTTTTTGTTTCATGGGTGTCATTCCAATAAATATGTTAAAAAGTGACTAGATTTTATTAAACCACCACTTTAACTGCTTTAAACCCAAGTTTAAATCCAAATAATTTTCAGTACTATCAGTATAAAAGCCAGGCAATCTGAACTGATGAAGGATTACTGTTTTAAGAAGGCAGGGTGTGAGCTACCCACAAATGCTTGTAAATGTATAAACTGGAAGAAAAAAAAACATACAAAGGGAAGAAAGGTACCCAATAACTGCCATGCTAGCAAGTGTCAAACAATAGTACAGCTTTACCAAGTATATAAAAGAACAGTTTTGATGTATTCTACCATTTCATTCAAATACACACATTTCAAATCACTGATACAGCGACTGAGAGGACTCACTTACAGTAATACAGCAACATCCTACTGCAAGTATGAGATGGAACAGACAGGGGAAAAGTACAGAGATTACAACCAAGCTTGGTTTTGACAAACCTAGTTAATGTTATGTCATTGTCATTTGTCACGTAATGTTAATAAAACTGTTGCTGACAATGTAAAATAGGAATCATTAAATATACTGTATTCATCAACTGTACTGTATGTGCTTGCATTAGGTCAAGCAAAACACTCACTTATTTACTGCATGGTAAAACTACACTAACGTCACCAATATGGTCTCCATCAAAGTTTATAACATGTGGGATCATCAAATGAAAAGGCCAACTTTATAGAGCATTTTATCTTTAACTGAGCTCAAGGGACTACTGTTTAGGTGTCTAATGATCTGGGAAGGATATTGTTCCCCAACAGCAGCTAATGCTACAGATAGAACCTAGAAAGAAACAAACCACGTATGTTTTTACTGAAACAAATACTTGGTATTATTAGTTCCCAATATTTTCAAGTTAATTTAGTTGCTCATAACGCAAGATTCATAACATAGTAAACATTTTCAATGGAGGAACAGAACTTTTAACTTAAAATACTTCACAATGTTTACTAATAGTAGTTTTCTCCTGCCCTTGTATATATAATTATGTCATATGCAATAATCCATGACGAAATGTTTATAATGACTAATACTGAATACTGTCGTAACGTTTATATGAAAACTGTAAAAACTGTAAAAACAATTTAAGAAAATATGAAAAGTTCAAAAAGAAAACACTACAACAATTGAAGCGAGTTTACAACGCCACTACTGCCCTAAAACATAGTCCTGAACCACACTAATGTGCTAAGGGAACGGTTTTGTAGAATTTAAAATAAAAATTGTGATTTCATGGCAATTTCAATACTCACCTAGAAGCTCAGTCGAAAGGCGTGTCTCCGGCTCATTTTGGCGCTACTACTCCCCACGTTGCGGCCTTCAAAAGAGTGGCTAACGTTAGCTTCGCGATGTCGTCGAAAAAATACTTTAAATTCGCTGATACGACCGCCAAACTGCGTATACACACTCGTTTATATTCTCATAGTCATACACTAGTTATATATTCATGTGGACTATAGAACGTTTGCATATATAACACTATATATATAAACTTTTATATGGGAAAAAGTGCGTATTTCACTCACGGCGTACTACATTTTCGAGTCCAAAGTCACTAAGCCCCGCCCTAAAGGTTGATTGGTCAAAAGGTGACCCCATGACACGATGACGACAAGACTGACAGCTCATTTGCGAATACACACCAAGCAATAGATAAGAAGTTCAAGGTCGAGTCATCAAGTATAGAAAACTTGGGCATTTAACACAGTGTGCACATTTTTAATGGATGTACGAATTTTTTTTTTTCTTAATGATAAACATTCGTTTGTGATATTTAGAACACAATTCTTTGTTAGTGATATTTGGAACAAAATTATTTTTTAAAGGCAATATTTTTAACGTAACAATTGGGTAACTATAAAATAAAATTGTAAAAGTGTAAAGCACAAATTTATTAACGAGTGTCAACCATCTAATTCTGCATCAGTCTTTTACAGGTAACTGATAATTCTATGCCTCAATAATTGATGAAAGGAAAATACAATTATAATAATATATAGAGAGTCCGTACAAGGATGCTTCCTTACAGAAAACCTTTGACACAGAGGAAGCTGGAAAAGTACCAGAGGTTGTGATTGTAGAGGTGAGTTGAGTCTGTGTCAGCAGTCACGCTGCACTTCCGACCTCTGTCTCAGCTGAAATAACTGTCTGGCTTTAACACAGCTGCTGTGACTCCATTACCCTCTAGTTCACTGAGAACAAACAGCAATGTGTGGGGACATTAACAACTCCTACTGCATTATTGTCCATTTAAACTAAAATCCCAATGTTCAGTCAAATAATTTATTTTTTATATTCAAAGTCCACATTATGGACTGTGTAAACACCTCAGCCAGCCCTAGTAGGGTAATGCTACACAGTTCTCCAAAACACACACACACATATACACACATTGTAATTAAACATATATATTTTTCATTTTCTCATAAATGGCTTCATCAAATACTGACCAATTCACAGTTTTGGTCTAGCAAGAGCTAACCCATATCTGTGGAACTGTGCTGATGCCAGTTGACTCATCACTTCTTACCAGCATCAAAGCAAATGCAGGTTCAAACAAACATTTTGTTTCACCACCTACTGTACATGGAGATTACTGCTGCTCATTGGTTGAATCAGTGGATGTCAGTATGGCTTATATTTTTTACATTTTCTAAAAGGGCATTAAATGCAACATATTTTGGATGCATTCCAGGACTTTAGTTTTGAATTTTGTAAGGCCAAATTAATCAGCTTAGACAGAGGCCATGTCAAGTACATAAAAAAATTCAGTCAGAATATTGAACACTGTTACATGAAAATAGAGATCTTTTAACTAAGGTGTTTTATTATGAATGTTTCCCTTGACTTATTTTCACAGACCAAAAGAATAAGACCTTGTAACACAAGGTCACAAAAATGCAGCATTCACACCCATTTACCATTTCTCTGACTTAACATCAACTGCCACACTAATTGAGACAAACATCTCTGCACCTCTAGGAAAAGGAGGTGATTTGTTGTTATGTTGCTGCTGCTTGAACATACTGTTTATTTTTCCAGCTACATCTCCCCTGCAGTTTCCACCTGCAGGTTGTGATTCTGTATTTTTTTTTTAATCACCACTCTCAATCTGCACTGCGGCACCACTGTAACGTTTACTCCGATAGCTGCACTGAGCCTCCCAGCCAGGAATCAGCAGGATCAGTGTACAAACTCTCACACAGCTCACAGTTAACAGCTCACAGAATCACACAACTGTTGTTGTAGTGCAGCGTCAAACATGACTCAGTGTTTTCACATTTTCAGGCTATCACTTCCCTCAGTCTGCTCCCTGTTTAGGTCAAAATCGATTAAAACAAACAGTTTCTCCTGCAGCCTCCTGTAGCGGTGCCATTCAATCGGCTTCGTATCACTAACTTCAGGAATCAGTAGAGATAGTTATATGTGAATGTTATGATAGTTTGTCACCTCATGGCAGCAGAGGAGTGAGGGTTGTTTGCATGTTCTCTCTCTTTTTGTACTTTTGTAGTTTTACCATAGTACCATAAGATTCACACACTGCACCACTGACATCATTTAAATCAGGGGTCGGGAACCTATGGCTCACGAGCCAGATGTGGCTCTTTGATGACTGCATCTGGCTCTCAGAAAAATCTTAGTTGACATTTCTTCACACAAGAAATAAAAAATATTCCCACTAATATTGAATTAAAGCATTACAGAAATCATAGTGTTAAAATAATCATTGGGTTAAATAATTGCAGTACAATACGTCATCTTTTATTTTTAACATGAAAAGTGAAAACAAAGTCAGTCCATTTTGTAGAAACACACACACGTCACATGATGAAAACATAAAATAAATAAAAATATGGTTAATGATAAAATTTAAATAACAAAATAAATGAATGACGGACCTCCGCACATGTGCACCTACCAGGATGACAGCAGAGCTCGACTGCTGCTCCCCTGGATGCATGATTCAGTAAGGGTGTTGCATTTAATGACTGTACAATAAATTAAGATTTTTCTTACGTGGTGTGTAATAATCTGTTTTGTATGGCAAGTGGAACCATATATTTATAAGTTTGCTATGCATTATGTTTTTGTGCTGGAGCCAATTGCATCAAAACCATGCAGCACCAGAAGTCGTATAAATGGTCATTGGATTTTATGCATTGGATAGTATAACTACGTTATTAAATTTAAAAAAAAACTTAGCTTTTGGATAGTATAACTACGTTATTAAATTTTAAAAAAAACTTTATTAATACTTATTAATTAATACTTCAGAGACTTATTATACTCCAAAATTATTTTGGCTCTCTCTGCTAAAAAGGTTCCCGACCCCTGATTAAAATGACTGAATGTGGACAATGAACAAATGATCTCAGAGAATCAAGGTCACTGTGATTGACTGCAACCACATCATAATATTTAGTCATCAAAGGAACTAGGGATTTTTTCAAACAAGTTTGGAACAAACTGTCATAACAGTGGCACACAGTGGAGGAGCTGCTAGAGTTCTTCAACAGTTAACGTCACTGGCGAGTTGGAAGAATGAAAGAAGACAGGGATGATTCTAGCCGTTTTCGGTTGAACTAAAGAAGGATGAAATATACTGATGAACTAACTGTTAGCAAAGCACTGACAACCAACGTATCTGTCTGCTGACACAAATTATACCTTTGGCATTGCTTTTAAAAACACAATCTTTTCCTTACAGCACTTGTTTCTTTAAACATTTGTTCACTTCATGAATCAAGTTGACTTGACAAGGTTTTTGCTACAGACTTTGAACTTAGTTCAGCTTGGTTGTTTAATGCTTTGTTAGTTGATTGGTCAGTTGGCTGTACAGGAATGATTGATACTAGTTTGTTTTTTGTTAACCAACTATGAATTGAAAAACTAAAGAATCAGACTGTGAGTCTAACAGTAAGATTACTCAGAGAATGAACAAACTTCAGTTTTTTCTCTTCTGCATCATCATTCATATCCAGCCACACAGGATTATCAGGTTAGTGCAGAAGAAACAGCCTTGCATGCTCTTGCTATGAGAAAAAACTAAAAAATAAATACTGACAAAATCAATAAATAAAGGAAAACAGACATGGAGAGAGAACAGAAAAGGTGATTTTCATTCACAGTCTGAGTTCTGGATGTCAGAAAAATCTTCAAATATTCATTTATATGCAGAAGGAAAAAAGAAATGGTTCAAAAGTCCTATCAATTTTTCATCCATCGGAGCAGGACTTGACAGGGCTGTGTCATGATAATGAATCTTATGACACATCTTGTTTTTATGTTGCTGGAAATACATTAAAATCAGATTTCTTTTTACGACATGTCTGGAATTTTACTTTTGCACAAATGTCAGCAACGCTTTAACCCACTTCAAATCATTGTGTTTCTCTGTAAAACTACAAAAAAAATCACCATCCAGCTGAGTTTTGATTTAAGGGCTGAGCCCTCCTTAAAAAAGTAACAGAAAAAAAAAATATCACAAAATCAAAAAAAAAAAAAAAAAAATCACAAGTTTCTGTCTCAAAACTAAATCAGTGTTCCATGATTTGGTGACAGCAGCCAGTATTGTGTTTGGCTGCAGGACAAAGCTCTAAATATTTTGTCCTAAAGGGGGAAAAGTAGCTGAAAAGAATATTCTGCTAAAAGCTGTCTCTTGAGGTTTGAAAACAAACAGTTGGTAGATTTGGTCTCTGTTCACTCTTTACTGCAACACTTATATTTATGGTCTGGGACTCAGACAAAAAAAAAAACTAACACTAAAACAAAACAAAAAAACAGGCCACGAGAGAGAGACAAAGAGAGAGAGAGAGAGAGCGAGAGAATATGAATATTTTATGATATATTACTGTATTATCCCTGATTGGTGTTTTATGGAGGTTTTCGTGATGTTGCATTTGTGCCCAGTTATTTTCTTGAACCATTATTATTAAAAAAAAAAAAAAAAAAAAAAGCCCTGGCAATGCTTTGAAGAACATTGTCCTCCGAGGTAATCAGACTTTTCCTGATTTTGGCTGCTGTCCTGTCTGTTCCTGCTGTAACCACTGATCAAAGTCCAAAACAAAGTATAACAGAAATGTGTCACACTGATGTGTTCAACGGCAAAATCACCAAACAAGGCAACCGTTCCTTGAAACACAGTCATGTCAAACATTATCAGTACTTTCAAATAACAAATTGACTTTCATAACATTTAAACGAAAACAACTCAAAATTCAAAGTGAAAACAGAGTTTGTCTGAACAGAATTTTACAGGTCTGTGACCCAGTGGTTGGATACATTGGCTTTAAACAGACAGACGTTAGGTATAAAAGTGTGTATTAAACGGGTGAAAGTGTTAATGTTGGAGGAAAGATTTATCTTTGTTCTAAACCAGAACATTTTAACACATCATAGCCTTCTGTTTGCTCTAAATGATCCTCAAAGGAATCAGCAGAAGGTTCACGGCAGTGGTAAGAACAGATGAATTCTTCTAAATAAAGTCCTTTTATGTCACCACACAGTTTGTGCCGAGGCAGCAATCTGTTACTTTTTCTAATTGTGGAGTCAAAAGTCTGTGTGGACTGTGAATCTTAAATGTCAGCCTGATCTCTGCTTTTCTGCCAAC